GGTGGCATGTGCACATGCCAGTGTCTTCACAAGATCGAGCCAGTGCCAATGAAAGATTGAGCATGAGTATCCCGTTTGCAGAGTCCACACGGAAGTCCAGCCTAAGAGGCAGGAGGTTTAGTGCTGCTCCAGTCCTCCTTCTGAATGGGAAATCAGGCAGCAGAATGCCATTTTTTGGAACTACTTTTTCACTCTTTTGCTTTCTTTTATCCCCCCCCAGATTCTTGCTGCAACTGTTGAAAATGCCAACATCGTCTTACAGATTGACAATGCCAGGCTGGCAGCTGATGACTTCAGAACCAAGTAAGTCCAACGCCTTCAAAAGTTCTTATGAGAAGGGAGGCAAAAGCCAATCTGTTTAAAGCTTTTCATTGCTTTCTGCAACTGAAGTTGCTCCACCAGGTCACTGCTCACTAAAAGTGTGACATTTGGGAAGTGTACATCTCTTCCTGGACACAGCATTGTCTGGACATTCCTGCACTGTGGAGAGCCGTGCATGCACATTTACTAAAAGATGCTTGGCAGAAATACGCCAAGGTGGGGAAAGAAACAACAAGAAAAAACCTGTATCAGCTGGGCTCCACGGTGCGACTGTGTGTGTGTGTTCCCAGGTTTGAGACGGAGCAGGCTCTGCGCCTGAGCGTGGAGGCCGACATCAATGGCCTGCGCAGAGTCCTGGATGAGCTCACCCTGGCCAGAGCTGACCTGGAGATGCAGATTGAGAACCTGAAGGAGGAGCTGGCCTACCTCAAGAAGAACCACGAGGAGGTGAGCACAGAGGCAGGCTCAAACTGGGACCTACAAAATGTACCTTGTGCACAATGGAAAGTGGTCAGGTCAAATGTGCAGGAGTGTCTCTGCAATTAGGGCTGTCAGGAGACACTCGAGTGGGTAAGGGGGAGGGAAACAATCCCTTCAGACAGAAACTCCAGGAGAAGGTCTGTGGGGTTGGTGTGCTGGGTGCAAATAAGAAATTTGTCATGATGGGAATACACCGATTTTACTATGACAGGTATGTGTCTCTTTTCTGCCAGGAAATGAATGCCCTGCGCGGGCAGGTGGGTGGAGAGATCAGCGTGGAGATGGATGCTGCTCCTGGAATTGACCTCACCAAGATCCTGGCTGACATGAGGGAGCAGTACGAGAGCCTGGCGGACAAGAACCGCAGGGACGCCGAGCAGTGGTTCTTCAGCAAGGTGAGCTGGCTCGCTGGCAGCGCAGCGGGGCACGTGGGACCCGAGGCTGTGCCCGCTCGATGGTGCTGTAACGGCACGGTTTTGCCTTGTTGCAGACGGAAGAGCTGAACCGGGAGGTGGCCATCAACACGGAGCAGCTTCAGAGCGGCAAGACGGAGATCACAGAGCTACGACGCACCATCCAGAGCCTGGAGATTGACCTGCAGTCCCAGCTCAGCACGGTATGAGGGGCCGGCTGCCTGTGGGGAGGGGGCACGCAGGAGCGTGGGCCAGGGGACGCATGGGTGCTCCCATCCCTTCCGCCCTCCGTCCCTGCCCTGAGCCCATGCCTCTCCTCTGCATGCAGAAAGCGGCGTTGGAGGGCACCTTGGCCGACACAGAAGCCCGTTACGGCACCCAGCTGGCCCAGCTCCAGGGGCTGATCACCAGCGTGGAGGAGCAGCTGGCCGAGCTGCGGTGCGACATGGAGCGCCAGAACCACGAGTACAGGGTCCTCCTGGACGTCAAATGCCGCCTGGAGCAGGAGATCGCCACGTACCGCCGGCTCCTGGAGGGCGAGGACGCCCAGTAGGTAGAGGGGCTTCGCTTGGGAGGGCACATCGGGAAGAGACGGGTAATAGCCAAGTAATTAAAAAATGAACAACTTGGTCCACCTGCAGGTTTCTGTGAGCCCGTTTC